TAAGAGGGCTGAGCAGGCTGTGTCTGAAAACCAGTGTCCCTTAACCACATGCTTGCAGCACACTTGTCGTCCCATTCCGGTCTCCTCAGGAGGCGGAGACAGCTCGAAGTCTGCTGACCCCAGCTTTACCGAGCTACCGAGCACTGATTAATATGCAGTTGACTGTTGAAGGCAGCATCCTGACTGTGTAAGTTCTAGAAGGGGCCTGGGATGATGAGGGTGGCAGATACTTGGCCTAATATCAGCTAGAGGGAGGACATCTTGGAGACAGAATGCAAACCCACTGTTACAGCAAGGTTGCCCATCTCTATGGAGACAGCCAGCCTGACCATTCTCCCTAGGAGCACTGGTGGCTTTCAACAGTGAACTTGGGTTTAGCAATGCGAGGCGTTAATCTGTACCCCACCCCAAGCTCAGGAGAAGCTGACTCTGGTGTGAGGAGGTAGTGGGTGCACTCACTGCAATGGCTTTGCTGGCCTGGAAAATGATATCCTCTCCCTCACTTTAGCAGATGGATCGGTGAAGACGCACTTGTGTTACGAGTTGCCACCAACTGTTTCCTGGAACATCTTTACCTGGTGAAACGCCATCTTGACAGCATTGCACCCCCAGATCTGAGAAGCCCTGAGGGGCAAAGGGGGGCTGAGGCCTAAGCTTCCCTCCCATTGTATCCAGTGTTTCCTTCCCAGAGCACTGTTTGCTGGAATCATTTGCCACTATGAGCCTGTTTGCCTGAAGTAGACCTTGAGCGCGGAGGACCCACTGCTTTGGTTTTCTTGTTTGGAGGGAAGAGGGCGATTCAATGGTTGTCACTGCAGAAAATAAAACTGAGCTGCAACCTTTTGTCATGATCTTTGAGGGGATGTTCTGGGACTCAGATTTCCAATCAATTCAATAGATTTGAGGACAATTGGAAAACCACAGTTCCGTTTTTCTTCATTGCGTTCTGTCATTCAGCATTCACCACTGCAAATATTTTTCAATTGATTTTTCTTTGTGTATTTGCATGTATGTATTAGTGTAAGCATCTATGTTTGAAGTGTCAAGTTTTCAGGAGGTGCACATTAAGATTTTCTTGTGCGCATTGGATTTTTTCATGAATTTTTATTTCACATGTAAGTTTTTCCTGTCACTAAACTTCCTCCAAAATAGGTTACAGAGGTGTGCATACCAGATATGCAATAGGCACCAAGTGCACTGTGAAATAAGGTAGA